ATAAGAAGACGAGAAGAACGTACTTTTTGTTTCCGAGAGGTGAGACCTAAGCGCAGTGAGAGGCAAGGGAGAGCAGAGTGACAGGAGAGACCAGGAAGAGCCCTAGTACTGCAGCCCAAAACAAATATGGAAGAGCCCTAGCCCAAGGACTTTGCAAAAGCAAGAATGTCAAGTATGTGATTTTTTAAATGTTTGCTGCTGGGTGGTGCAATATGTACCCCCTTCTCAAGACCTTTGAATCTCAGTAAAGCCTTCCACCCCTCAAACACCTGATAGGAAGAAGAATTGGGGTGAAGATGGGTGGAGGTTTGTGGGAGGCTTGTGGCAGAGTGGAGGCAGCAGGTAAGAAAGCAGGACTCCCCTCGGGAACTCATGTTAGTCTGAGATGGGCTTTGATTTCTATGGCTCCAGGCCGACTCATGACGATGTCCAGAGCAGGGGCCTCACACACAATGTCTGAATTCTACAGAGTTCATCATACTGTCTCTGCCATGTGGAGGTTACAGAGGGCCCAGTGGAAGATAGCAGCGGGACTTAACAGGATAACTGGCAAGATGATACGGGATATAGCATAAATAATAGAAAATTGTGTTTTCATCCTTTCTCCTTCTCAGATAAACTATTAGATCTAGAAATCCAAGGATGAGAAATCATCTGTTCAGAGAGCAATATAAGGCTACCCTTTTAAGGATGGGCAAACTACATCTCAAGTCTATCCGATGAAAATTCTGAGAAATAAAGCTTAAAGAAAAGGGTGATAGCCAGGGCTTACCGTGGAGGAAAAATCAGCCAAAAGTTGCCAGGTTGCAGGTGGAGAGAACTGTGTAGTCTAAACACCACCCTGAGAGTGTCTCAGGGAGGTCTCTGGGAAGTACTCCTGGCCGTGCCATTAACCAGATAGTGGGTCTAACAAAAACGTGGCACTGCCATAATTGTGGTTCATAAATTGCTCCCTCCATAATTTGCTCTGATTCGGGTTTAGCTTTCTTTCTCCGCTGGACATCAGGTGCATGAGCCAAGAGCCGCAAGGAGCCTGGTTTATCCTATTTGGCCGTAGGTATCCACAACCAGCCACCCTGACCTGCTGAGAGGCAGCAACTGTCCCCAGACTGCCTATGCCCAGCAAGTCTGATAGAACTATTAGTCCAGCATATTAGTCAAGCTCCTTCCCTGTGGTGGTCAGTCTCCAAATATGGCCCCATCTGTGCCTTCCCTCTTTGTTCACATGGGCTACTTCTTACATCAGGAGGGGACACCTCCCTACCTTTTCACCTGGGCTGGCTGTGGTACCTAATTTGACCAATAGAGTGTGGCAGAACTAACATTCTGAGAACAGGTCATAAAGCAGCTCTATGTCTTCTACCTCAGTCATTTAAAAACATTTGCTCCTGAAATATTCCATCTTGGAACCCACTGACCATGCTTTGAGAATCCCAGGCCATTGATGAGGCCATGTCATCAACAGTCCCAGCTGAGCTCCTGGCAAACAACCAGGATCAGTTGCCATGTGAGGAGTCATCTTGGGTGTGCAGCCCAGTTGAGCTGTCCGATGATCCCACCCCCAGCTTCTGGCTACAACTACTTGAGACCCCACATGATAACCACCCAGCTGAGTCCAGTCAACCCAGGGGACAGTGACAAAGAATAATAAATCACCATTTTAAGCCAAAGTTTGGGGATGATTTGTTACATAGCAATACATACCCAGACCACTCCCCATCAGAGTAGGCAGGACCCTCAGGCTGTTCTTGGGGCATCAAATAAAATTGCCATTGTTCCTTTAATAGCCTTGACCCTAAAATGGCATCTTTGGATATTTCCTGTTTAAGGAATTGTCCCTTGTTTCATAATTTTTCTCACGACTCAAAAGTCTTTTTTTTTTTTTTTAGATTTTAATTATTTCTTTGACAGAGAGATAGGGAGAACACACAAGTGGGCAGAGCAGCAGGCGGGGGGGTGCGGGGAGAAGCAGGCTCTCTGCTGAGGAGGGAGCCCGATGCGGGGCTCGATCCCAGGACCCCGGATCATGACCTGAGCTGAAGGCAGCCACTTAACTGACTGAGCCACCCAGGCACCCCTCAAAAGTCTTGTCAAGATGAATTATGTCTTTCTCCAAATCTTAGTTTGGGCATCAAATGTGGGAAATGTAGTAGAAGACAAGGTCATGGGAAAAAAAGAAAAGGCTTTAGAGACAGACACACCCAGGTACCAATTCCAGACTGGCTTTTACCAACTGTGTGGCTTTGGGCAATCTGACCTGTCTTGAGCTCTGGACATCGGAATACAAATCTCCACCTTGCTGGCTTATATTGAGATCCAAAGGGACCACTGTAAGGAAAGCCCCTGGCACCATGCCTACCACTATACTAGCCCTGCAGAAATGAATGTTTTATAGATGGTTGCTTCCTCTGAATCTCTCTTTCTTATTCTCAATGTATGAGATTTCTACCATGCTCTTAGGTTGGGAGATCAGCTGGAATGAAAGATGGACTCCCTTGGAGAGCCACCTGTCTATGCTCTTGTTGGTTTGGGCTGCCCAGTGGGGTATAGGAATTTGGTAAGAATCAGTGGACACAGAAGACAAATTTGAGTAGAGAAAAGGCATCCAGCTAGCAATTAGAAAGTCCTGTCAGGATAAGGACATATCACCCCATCACTATACACATTTTCTTATTGATTTCCTCTTAGTGTTGAACACTTGCTGTGTGAAAACGCTAAGGTGAATACAAAGATGCATGAGACATGGTCTCTGCCCTCAAAGAGCTGACAAGATAGCTGGAGAGACAGTGACATACCCTTGGAAGGCTAAACGATGGTGCAAACTGTAAGCAAACATAGTCATATGGAAGCATTTCTATGCAGTGGTTGAAAACAAAGGGGCTATGAGTTCCATGAGTTGTTTGTTTCAGTTAGGCCACGGTGAAGTTATTGTACCAGTCACCTGGTGATGGTGCAGGTCCAGGCCACAGCATGACCCTGGCAGAAAGATCCTGCCATTCTCTGGGACTTACATTTGCTGCTATCCTCAACCCCAGGAAGACTTCTCCATACACAACACTTTCCGTCCCCTGGAAAGCTATCAAGTGTGATGGGTGCTGTGGCTTGCACTTGAGAGAATCCAGGATCTGTCCTTCTGTCTTGTTGTAAAAGGCCCAGTCTGGAACTTTGGGAGAGATCTTTCACAGAAGTCCCCAGGTTTGACCTGATGGACTTGGTCTTCCACGGTGACCCTGCTGGGCTAAGAGGTGCCGAGTTGTGCACAAGATTCTCCCAAGCCCCAAGCACACAATCTCAGAATTAGAAGATCCTGCTGCTGCTGGTTATGCCTTGCAGTGCAAAAATAGAAGGGTTGGGTTTGAATCACTTAAATCCAGAGCTGTGCCTTCCAGTACAGTAGCCAGAGCTACATGGGGCCACCTCAGCATCAACTTTCATTTTTATTTTTATTTTTTTTTTAAGATTTTTTGTTTTTTGACAGAGAGAGACACAGCGAGAGAGGGAACACAAGCAGGGGGAGTGGGAGAGGGAGAAGCAGGCTCCCCGCTGAGCAGGGATCCCCATGCGGAGCTCGATCCCAGGACCCTGGAATCATGACCGGAGCTGAAGGCAGAAACTTTACGACTGAGCCACCCAGGCGCCCCAACTTTCATGATTTAAAATGAAATAAAATTTAAAAATCAGTTCGTCAGTCACACTAGCCATATTTCAAGTGGTCAAGAGCTACACGGGTCTAGAGGCTTCCATATAGAGGGAAAAGATACAGAATACTCATATCATAGCAGAAAGTTCTATTGGGCAACACTCAGCTGGAGCTCTTTGTTTTTCCAAACCTTTGAACACATACACCCTCTTCTCCCTTCTCACTGAGTGTAATTTTCTAAGATAACTATTGAGAATATATCAACTCCATGATTTTATTCACTTAATGCCTATTAGAGATAAGAAATATGTGTCAGTTTCTTAAAAAGAGGGAAAGTAAGATCGCCAGACCCATGCTCCTCAAAGTTTAAGGAGCACTTAACTCACCCAGGGATCTCATTGTGCTGTGGATTCTGATTCCCCATGTCTGACATGGAGCCTAAGAGTCCACCGCTGGTCCCCAGACCACTCCTTGCATATGACGGTTATGGCGTGTGGCTTGTGACCTAGGACCCTGTTGCTACTTAAAGGGTCAGGCGAATAAATACACAAGTGAACTGCAAATGGAAAGACAGAGCTGAAGGAACTAGTCTCATCTTCCCACAGCGGAAGAATAAGACCAACCCTGCTTTGGTCTGAGGAGGGTCACATGGGTGTGGGACAGCACAGCCTGGCCAAGGGCTGCACTCTGGAGCCACATTTGTCTGGACTCGTCTTGACTCCATCACTTCCTAGTGTGTCTCTGGGCAAATGATCACTAGGCCTCAGTTTCCCTATGTGTAAAATGGGGCCAATACTAGTACATTTTTTTTACAGAACAGTTGTGAAGACCCAGTGAGTCAGCAGAGTTAAGATGCTCGGAACAATGGCCAGAGCATCGGATACGCTGACTAGGTGGTTGTTCAGTGGACACAACATTCTGCCTCTAAGCAAGTGTTAGGGTTCATCCTGGATGAGCTGATGCATTTCTGACCACTCGTATGTCACTTGGATCTAAATAAGACGAGAAGTGGTAGAGTTGAGGGTTGGGCTATTAACGGACAGGCAGGGTCCAGGGAAGCCAAATAAATAGGGTCGTTGCATTTCCTGTAGACGGCAGCCATTTGGCAGGTCTCCTGGTGACCTTCACCTAAACGTGGCCCCTTTGAAATGCCTTCTCTAAAGAGACGTTTTACTGTTGGCTGAGGTTGTGCCGAGTCTGCATGTGGAGTTTGTGCAGGTTTTACCAAATCCATCACTTAAATTTGAGACATTGCCCTTTGGCGTGGGGCAGCAAAATAGATTTGAGTTGTTGGAGGGAATAGGACACCGGTTTTTGCCTAGCATTGATCATTTTCTTAAACCTTTTTCTCCCCCAAAAGCAAAGAACCCAGCCAGCAGCGAGTCAAGAGATGGGGCTTCTCTTTCGACGAGGTATTGAAGGACCAGGTGGGGCGGGACCAGTTCCGGAGATTCCTGGAGTCCGAGTTCAGCTCAGAAAACCTCAGGTAACTCTCTCAAAGGTTGCAGCCATGTGCAGAGGGTGTATGAGGAGATGTGCATATTCAACCTCCCATTCCACCCTCCCCCCCTTTCTCAATAAAAACGTGATGGTGCAGATTCATATCCCCACTAATCTGGCTAAGGCAGAAGTGGAGAAGGACAAACTTGATGTGCAGCTCAGGCATCCCCATGTGGGCACTTCCCCAGATCAGCATTTTCTGTTCTGTAGGTCCAGATGACATTTGTTCAAGTTGTTGGAAACACGTCTCCCATGATAAGTAAATGATCAAATGGGTCTGATGACACCTTGCATTAACTGAAACCAGGAACCATGGAGCTGCAGAGTGGAAAGGCAGCTCAGAGACTGTCTCCTTCAAAACTTCTCAGTCGGGGGTCCCAAATACTTGACAAGCTAACCAGAGAAAAAGAGGGATCCCTGAGCTCATTTTAGAATTTCAAAAAGCCAAAGGATATACATTTCAATACCTGGAGACATATCTGTAAAAACTAATTAAAACATGCTTTTCCTTTTGGGGGGATTCTATCAACCCTGTGTTGCTGTGGTCACCTGCTGCCAATGAGAACACATGGCTGTCGCTGTTGGTCTCCAGCTAATCAAGATGAGGGGAGATGTAGTGATGTATTAATAATTACTGTTCAATAGGAGGAAAAAGCAAAACTTTCAAAACATGAGGTCCATTGAGAGAGGGGGGAAAGGGAGAGCATTCAGTGGGAGAGGGTCCATTGTCATGAAAAGTTGGGAAACTTGTGGTTTATTCAGGGTTCCGTTGTATTAGAATGGACACAGAGACCTAATGGGTCTGAGCCCCCTGAATGATCTGAGCAAACCAGTGACTTCTCAGATGTAAAGCTCAGGATTTTTTCTTGGCACCAGGTTCTTTTTTTGCGTGCTGGGTTAATTCCCATCTTCCAGTGGTATTTTTTTCAGAAAGGGTGGTTTTATTCATTTTCTAAATGTTTTTTAACTTTAAAAAGTCAGGGCATAGACTGTGGGCAAAGGACTGTCCACTCCGGTGTTAATGTGCAAAGACCATGTAATTTATTTGACAGTAGAGACCATATCAGTCCCATACATCAATCAAGCACTAGTTATCACACACCTAGGCTGCATCAAGCCCTGCAAGAGTCTGCTGAGGGAGGCAAACAAGTCAAGATGCATGATCTTTGCCTACCATGATCTTGTAGGTCCTTGAGGAAAAAAACACAAGAAACTATTAAATCGTTACATGAATATAAATGAGTATAAACTCTAAGAACTGTTTTGGAAATGTTGTTTTTTTTTTTCTCTTCTTTTTTTTTTTAAGATTTTATTTATTTTTTTGACAGAGAGAGACACAGCGAGAGAGGGAACACAAGCAGGGGGAGTGGGAGAGAGAGAAGCAGGCTTCCCACCGAGCAGGGAGCTGGGAAGGGACCCTGGGATCATGACCTGAGCCGAAGGCAGACGCTTAACCGACTGAGCCACCCAGGCGCCCCTGGAAATGTTTTTAAAAGGGAGGGTTGAATGTAAGCCAGAGCAGGCAAATCATAAGCTGGTTTTGAAGAATACACAGGATACAGATAGACAAACGAGAAGGAGGGAGAGTATTCTAAGCGAGAAGACCCTATGAGCGAAGGTGTGGCAGTGGGGCTCTCCCACATCACACAGCCTCCGGGGGACGTGTAGATGCCAGTTAACGATATGTGTCGATGCCTTTCCAGGCAACCAGGAGCTTACTGTACAACAGATAAGGCTGCATATCTGATGCCAGGTCAGGACACAAGAGTTCTTTCCTGAGGCGGAGCCATTGTTCTGAACACGCCTCCCAGCTTTGCTTTGATTCCGAGTCAAGCATCTGTAACAGAAGGCTTGCGGTTCAGACCAGCCTCCGGGGCTGTGCGTGGACGAGGCGGGTCCTGACCAGGAAGCCACGCCCTCTGTGAGCCACGCCCTCTGTGGCCGGCAGGATGCTCTCAGGCTCACCCCAGGACCCACATGGAGCTCGGTCCCCGTGAGCCGCCCGTGGGAGTCTTTCCCATTTCTCCTTCTCATTCTGTCCCCTGCGGGCCCCCCCAAAATAAAGTGACATAGAGGCCTCCTTTACCTGACTGTTTCTCAGCCCATGCGTGGCCTTATGACCCTCTGCCACCTGCACCGTTACAGTGACTTTGAAAAACCACCACGGGGCCCCGGTCATTTTGAGGGTCATTTTGAGCGGGAGCATCGCTGGCTCAGCACCTCCGTGCCCAGTCTGGGCGCAGCCGGAGTCACACATCGGTTCAGACTAGCGTAACGAACACACATTACCCTTAAGGCCAGGGGGGCAGGGAGGAGTACGTCCTTGGCGGGGCTTCAGCACCTCATCCTGCCATTACCTCCTGTGCCTCGGCCAGCTCCTTCATCCTGTGGCGGGGGGCTGCACTTGGGTGAAAGGGTGGGGGAACACCTGTGAGTGGGCCAGTGACTCATCTACACCCCCAGCAGGAATGCATAAATCCACACTTGAAGAGGGACCCCCTCTGATCCATGACAGGAGAGAGGATAAAGAAACTAGAACAGCCGGAGATAAAAAGTACAGCCCAAGAGCTTATAAAATCCTCTCTGGAGGCCCAAGTTCCACTTTTATGATATTCAGCATAATTGGACATGTAGGGGGACATGTTTGGTTTGACATCACACAACTCCTTAGGACTCGTCAGTCATCCATAACCATGTGGTTCCTCCCCTCCCCTTTGCATTCACTCCTCCAGCCACAGAGAGTGGCTTAGCAGCCCCCATGACCCAGGGCCCAAGGACTCAGCTGAGCAGGGCAGCCGTGGGCGCCCTGCCGATGCGCCTCCACCACGTCCCGTGAATGGCGCCCGCTGGAGCTGTAGAAGCAGCATAACCCAGGGATCCTGCCCGTCTGTTGCCTTCGCCGCGCTAGGGATCATCTCTTCTCCCCAGGACAGACCAACAGCCCCGGCAACTGGCATCAGGGGTTGGGAGAAAAAAGAGACCAACCAGAACTCAACTGGATCCACTGCAAAGGGCATCTCCATTTCATCTTCCCATACGCCCTCGCATCTCTCTAGCAAAAGGAGTACTTAGATTGTAACCCTTTAGCACAGCCCAGTTAAGTAGCCAAGTGGTTGAACCTGTACCTAGAGCTTCAGAGAGCAGCACAGAGGAGCCCCCAAGACACACAGAAATCACTTTCACAACAGCAAAGCGTCACCCTGGATCCTTTAAGGAAAGACGTCTATGATAATACAATGTAAGTTCAAGTCCCCTTTCATGGTGAGGTCATGGAGGGAGGGGCGTCAGCTTCAGGGCCCGGAGAGGGCATGGCCAGTGCATGTTGCTGCAGCCGGCACAGCATGGGAACCTGCGCTCTCTGTGGCACCCTGAGCTGGGGCACCCCGTTCACACGCGCGGGGCCCCTGAGACAGCTGTTTGCTGGGGGCCTGCACAAGGCACGCGGGCTGTCATCCATAAGGCGAGAAGCAGGAGCGTCAAGTGCATTATCTGACTTCGTCCTCCCTTCTCTGTGCGTTTTCCCAGAATGGTGACAGGAGTCCCTCGTCCACATTTGCCCCCTCCCCATCGCCCCTATGCCCACCTTGGTCCCTCCCCGCACAATGGTCTCTGCTGCCCGGCAGGGCATGAGTTAAAACTCAAAACCCACAGCAAAGAGCGTTGTCCGTACATTTTTTATGAGCTGTAACGTCTCCTGAGAGAACGTGGTTGTTCTTCTAACCTGCAGATTGATTATCCCAGTTCCACACAGTGTCAGCTGAAGGGAGAAGCAATTAAAGAGCGCACGGGGGAGTTGCCAGGTTTGCCTGGAGAGCTCCCGGCTCCGAGAGTTGCCCCCGGTCCTGGGAGGACCTGGGAAGGTTCACGAGGCCCCGGGGGGACTCCCCACTAACCAAACACATGATTAATCGGAACAGAGGTGGCTCGCGCGTCACCGTGACAATCTGTGGCACTTCAGCCACTGCCCCCGAAAGGAGCATACCTCAGCGGCCGCCGTGGGGCTGGGGCTTGTGGCCGCCGTGGGCCCCGGACGATTTTCACCCCACCAGGGACCCGGTCAAGTTGCCTCTGTCCTTCCTGAGTCTCTGCTGACCAGCAGAGGGCACAGAAAGCCTTCCTTCAGCATCGAGTTTGCTTTTTCTCTGGGAATGAACTAAAAGCTAGATTTTTCTCAGCCATGAAAATCTTAGTTTATGAAAAAAGTAGGGAAACTAAGAACTGCGGGGCTGCCCAGAACCCCTGGCAAGGGGGAGAGGGCCCAGGGCTGCGCAGTGTTCCTGCGTCCAGCCTGCCTCGAGGAGAAAATCCCACTCCTCGTCCGCACCACAGTCCTGGGGACAAACGAGGCCATCAGGACTACCCCCTCCCCTCCGGGGTCCCCCCAACACGGCTGCTGCTGGGCCCTGGGGCGTCAGAGGCCCCCCCGCCGCTTCCCCGCCCAGGCCAGTGCCGGCCTGCGTTCCTGAGCCATCCCCACGCATCGCATGCTGGCGCACGGGCTGCCTCCCCACGCTCTGAGGACTCCAGCGAAGCAGCACAGATGGTCTCCCTGATACCGGCAAGTCCTTGTGGCCTGCCAGTCACGACAGCCCTTCTGCGGCAAGCCACGGAGGCTTAGTGCAGAATGGGCGTCGTACCTGCAGGGCTTTCCATAAGGCAGAAGCTGCCCCAGCCTCCCTGGGCCAGCACCCGCCCTGGGTGTGTGGCAGGGAGGTGCGCGGGCCCCCAGCGAGGGGAGTGTGGCCGGGACACCGGGGCTGGGGGTGGGGGGGGGGGTCGGGGGGGCCTCGGAACTCAGCGCTCCCGCCTCAGGCCTGTGGGCTCACAGATGGCAAACGCGAACCAGAGCCTGTTCTGAATTTCAAATTGACACAAAAGTTCTTCGAAGCCGGTGATGGTAAACACATATGGGATGTCAGGATGCTGTTGTGACAGCATTTTTGCTGTTACCTGAGAAGGATAAGGCAGGTCACCTCCGAGGCAGACAGAAGGCTGAGAGGGTCCCTGCGAGGGCAGGGAGGAAAGACGGCCGCCTAAGGCATGTCATCTCCTCCTCCGCTTCTAACCGGCCTGTGGTTTCTCCTCGTCCTTTTATTTTTCAAAAGTCTTGGTTTGTGGCAAAGGGAGCCTTTTTAACTTTTATGTAAAAGTTTGTTACATTTGATTCTGAAATCTCCTTTACATCCACTTTAGACCTTCTCTATACCCAGCTGAGTGAGGTGCATGACTGTGGCTCCCAAATCATTCTCCCAAAGGGACTCTGAGGCCTCGGGAACCCTAGGAGCCTGCCCAGCTCCGAAGCTGCTGGGAGCTTCCAGGGCCTTCCCGGAGCTTGAGAGCTCCTCCTCAGAGCAGCCTGGAACACGGGACAGAAAGTGACAGAAGGTGACCCCCCACATGACATTGATTGAGGGAGCAGGAAATTGCCCGGGAACCATCCATGTGTGTGAGAAACTGCAGGGTCCCGTAGGCTTGGGAAGGATGCTGGCCCAGAGAAGCTGCTTCCAGCCGGGGGACTCGGCCCAGAGGCGACTCCCTGAGGGAGGGCCCTTCTCCCATCAGCCCCAGCACATGGCTGCCAAAGACTCACCAACTCAGTCTTTGGTGAGTTGCCCACTAGCACTCTTTCCGGTCCTTTGAAAAACCCACACCGGCTTCCTTCTTTAGAGCTGGGTTTCCTAAATCCCACCTGCCCATCAAACCCTGCTGTCCTGACAAAGAAAGCCTATAGGCGCTGTCATCGGCAGATGACCATTTTCATCTTTGTGTCCCAGCCACCTCCTTCATTCCATGGCAGACCTCGAGGGCGGGACGGAGAGACCTAAGGGCCCAGAGGCATGGGGTTGGGAGGTGGAAGAGCCCCACTCCCCAGCTAAGGCTCCGAGGACCTCCTGCCTTTGCACTTTGCTCAAAGAACCCTTGCTGTTCTCTCCCCGGTAGCCAGAGGACATGAGCGCCAGACCTGCGGAAGCAAGAAAGCAGGCTGGTGTTGAGGGGCAGGTGACGACAGATGGCAGGAGCAAGAGCCCCTGGCAGCTTCTGCCCAGCCCCCCGGGAGAAAGCCCCGTACTAATCTTGTGGCTGCCCCTTGGCCCCTCCACCACTCCCACCCACGGGACCTGAAAGCATTTCTGTTACACCTGGATGGGAAGTTCTTCAGACCCATGTCACATACCCTGCCACCCACTTTGTACCCATTTTACAGATGAAGAAAGAGATGGCCAGAAAGGCATAATTCCAAGAAGTGGCATAGGCAAGATGAGGACAGAACTGTGTTTCCTGGTCTTCTGGTCAAGTGAGGTCATGAAATCTCCTTCCCAGCCTCTCGCTCTTCAGGACCAACAAGGGAACCATGAGGATTTCCTTTAAAGAGAGTATTTGAATCCCAAATGGCAAAGCAGGGGAAGAGTTGGGAGTCCAGAAGCCCCTGTACGCAAACATCTCTCCTTGTAGAAATGGAGCTGTATTACCGCAATTGGCCACTGAGTGGCGCCTTTGGGCTATGCACTTGGCTCCAAAGACAATTCTAAGAACAGCAACAGAAAAACATGCTTAACCTTTAAAAAAGGGGGCGGGGGGGGAACAAGTACATCTTACTTTGGGCGCAATTCGATGACAGATTGAATGCACTTTCCACCGTGTCGTGATCCAGCTTCTCTTGTCCCTGCCCTTTCATTGACTTGAGTATGTGTGAATACTAAGGCTATGGGAACTACATAGCCTGGGGCCTGTCCTCATGTCTCATTGATGGGGCCATGGGCCTGTCTTGTTCACAAGGCACAAAGTGTGCTACTCAGATCTGGGCCCTGCTGCAAGCCCTCCCCGGGGCAGCCTCGGAAACCATCCTCACGACCAGGGAGCTGTTGTCCAAGCTTAGCCCCGTGTGCTTTGGCTCTCAGCAGAAAAGAGCTCACACCCAGCTCTTCCAACAGCCGCTGCCATGCTGATGCTGAGGAATTCATGAAAGGCACATATGGAACTGAACAAGAGGTTTTTCTCTCCAGTGCTCCCTGGAGAATCTTTTGGCATAGATGTTCCCCATGTATGCCTCTTCAGCTTTGTTCCTCATGAGCCCATCTTCAAGCCAACAGCCATTTATTGAGCACCTACTATATGCTAAGTATCATGCTGGATGCCGACCTTGCAAATTGGCTGCCTTTCCATCTGCAACATGAATAGTTGGGTCCTCCCAGCTCAGATATTCTCTATGATCCCAAGATTCTATCTGCCTCTGTGATTTCCTTAATTTTGATGCTGCAAACTGATCCCAACCAGATATGACAAAGGAATTCACATTGTCCACGTCAGGGCAGGTTGAGAACTGGCTCTCAACCAGGGGGGGATTTCACCTCCTAGGGGACATTTGGTAATATCTGGAAACATTTTGGGTTGTCACAACTTGGGGAGGGGTTGCCACTGGCATCTGGTGGGTAGAGGCCAAGGTTGCTGCTCAACATCCTACAATGCACAGGGCAACCCTCACAACAGAGAATTATTGAGCCCAAAATGGAAATAGTGCTGAGGTTGTGCAACCTTGTTGTAAAGGGAAAGAAATCTCTGGTTGGTAACCAGAAGCACAATGATTTTTCTAATGGGCACTTCCTTTCAGTTCGCCACCATGATGGAGCACCCTATGGATTTCCAGCAGTCCCTACCGTCTTTGTTACCTAGGTAGGGGCAGCAGGGAAGGCTGGGGGATGCAGCAGAATGAGTTTTGTGGGATTTCAGTTCTGGGGCCACATCCAGCAGAGTCCAGAGGCTGAGCCCCCTGGAACTGACTTTCTTTATGCTTCTACATCAGGTTCTGGTTGGCTGTCCAAGACCTCAAGAAACAACCCCTCCAGGATGTGGCCAAGAGGGTAGAAGAAATCTGGCAAGAGTTTCTGGCTCCAGGGGCCCCAAGTGCAATCAACCTGGACTCTCACAGCTACGAGATAACCAGTCAAAACGTCAAAGATGGAGGGAGATACACATTCGAAGATGCCCAGGTTTGCTTATCTACTCGAGCGGTTCTTATCTACTCAAAAGATGTTCATTTGTCCACTCCACCACTCCACCCTTTCACATAGGTCCAAGGCATTGTGTGTAGCTAGAATTTCAGGTTTTATTATTTGTAAGTCCATCAGGAGAAACCATTCCAGGTAGGTGCATAGTGAAATTCTTCCTAGGCCCGGCTTCCTAGATCAGTTACATTGTTACAGAGAGATAAACATTTAGTTATATGTGTTATCTTTTCCAGGAGAGTCTCAGAATGTTCTTACAAAACCTGAGGTCCTGTAATAAGTCAGTAGTAGGGTCCGGAAACCATAACACCACATCGGCAAAGTGGGTATAGTGAGCAGGCAGGGCTGTGAGTCACATCTCACCGTGAAGCCCACGCTCGTAACCACCACCCTACACTGCTTCCGTAGTGATCTCCAACTCTGCAGTTACTGTTTGGGGAGCACCTCTATATCCCAGGCCCCGTGCTATGTGATGAGATACCACCAAGAAAGACAGAGCCCCTGCCCTTAAGGAGGTTACGGGCTAGCTGGGGAGAAAGGCAAGAAAATGGGAGAACTGGGGTGAGCTCCCAGATTTAAGGTTTAAGGAAGCCCATGGGAGGGACTCCTAAGCCTGGATGGCACAATTGGGCACAGATGCTTGGGAGGTTGGCAACAGAAACCGAAGCCATGTAAGCCACTCTAAACAGCACGCTTTACCTTGAAGGCTGGGAAGTACCATTTCTAAAGGTAAGCATCCAGTCAGCTGTCCACTTCCTGGCCCCAACCGTGAGTCCCTCTCACCCATCCTACACCTGGTGATGGGGCTTAAGGGTTTGCTCTTGTCTCCTCAACCCTCTTCATTTCTCTTACCTGTCGGGTCCCCAGATAGAGAATTTGCATAGATTGCTTCCCTACAGACATTATTATCCAATTTAGGAAATTCAGTGGCACTGATGTGAATAATAGCATGGGAACAGAACCAGTGTCCCTTGTCATCCAGATTTGCCTGGTTATTTGCTCAGAACTTCAGAATGGAAACACCTCCCAAGCTCAACACCATAACTGTTTTTCCCTTCCTCTGGCCATGAGCACCACTGGATGCTGGTGTCAGGCAGATTTGGTTCTATAGAGTTCAGTGTTATTGCTTTATGAAAGCTCAACATCCTCACACCCTTTGCAGCTTCAAAGCAAAATGTTTAAGTCAAGAGAAATCTTTTTTTGTATGGGTCTATGTATATGCTCCCAAGTACATATTGATGTATCCTGGTGAGGAAAGTGATGGAGAAGTTCCATGGGTGATGGAGAAGTTTCTGGGGTGATGGAGAAGCTCCTTGGGTGATGGAGAAGCTTCTTGGGTGATAAAGAAGCTCCTTGGGTGATGGAGAATCTCCTTGGGTGATAGAGAGGACCCTCAGATGAATGATCTGAAACACACAGGTCAACTCTCCATTATTCATAAAATACAAGACCAGGGATACTGGTCAGAACCATGATGCACTCCATCTACTATTATCACTCTGAGCCTGATGTTAGGAAGGAGGTTGTTAGGATGTTAGGAAGTTATTTTAATCTTTTATTATGGAAATATGTAAACATGTGGCAAAGTGGAAAGAGCAGAACAACAAACCTTTACAGGCCCTCATCCAGCCTGAGCAATCATCAATACAGGACTGATCTCATTTCGTTTGTGTCCCCACCTACTTTTTCAGCTACCACTGGGTTATTTTAAAGCAAATCTGAGACATTACATCATTTCATCTGTGAATACCTAGTATGTAGCTTTACTAACACCACTATCACACCTTAAAAATTAGCAACATTCTCTTTAGATCATCAAATGTCATGCAAGTTCAAATTTATGGCAGTGGTATAAATGCCATTTTTTAATCTTTAATTTAAAATCAGAATCCAGGGGCACCTGTGTGGCTCAGTCAGTTAAGCATCTGCCTTTGGCTCAGGTCATGATTCCAGGGTCCTGGGATCAAGTCACAAATCAGGCTCCCTGCTCAGCGGGAAGCCTGCTGCTCCCCCTGCTTGTGCTCTTGCTCTCTCTCTCTCTCTCTCTCTCTGACAAATAAATAAAATCTTAAAAAAAATAAATAAAATCTTTAAAAAATAAATAAAATAAAATCAGAATCCAAATCAGGCCCACACATTACTGTATATTGACATGTCTTTCACATGCCTTTTAATCTATAGGTTTCTTTTATATCCCTTTACTCCCCTCCCTTCCCCCTTGCAATTTATTTCATGAAGACATTGTATTCTTTGTCCTGTAGAGATTCCCACAGCCTGGACTTTTTTTTTTTTTTTAATTGCAGCCCTGTGGTGCTGTTTAACATGTTCTTCTACCCTCTGTATTTCCTACAAATTAGTAGTTTGATTTAGATATTTAATTGGATTTACATTTGATGATCTGTGGGCAAAAATGCTTCATAAATCATGTTGTGCTCTCTTGTCAGAAGGCACATAAGGTCTAGTTTTCTCTCTTTTTGTGATTTTAGCAATTATTGATGTTTATTGCTTAGATCCATTAGTTAATTACTTCATTTATTAGCTGAAATACAAATAATCAAATATATCTCCTATTAGATCATCCAATAATACAATTTATATAGGGAAGATAGGATAAGTGTTTGCTTCTTTCCCTTTATTTCTTAGTTTTCAAAATAATGAGTGGTTTACTATCATCTTCTAATGGTGACCAATTAGGGTTTTCTGTTTTGCTTTTAGTACCTTTGTAAACTCATCAGTTTAAACATATTTGATGTGTTTTAGTCCATTTCTTTATTATTTTTATTAAGGCTTGGATTGTGCCATCTCTGTCAGTGGCTCCTTTTTACATGATCCTGGTAGTCTTTGGTGTCATCCAAATAGCAAGGAAGCTAAGATGTTCCAGGCCTTGCCCCAGACCTGGAATCAGCCATTTCTCCAAGGACCCCTGGTTTCTCTTAGTGGGACATGGTTCTTAGAGACCATAATCCAGGCACTTGGAGGTGCTCATTGTTCCTGGGCTGGTCATCCTTTATAGACCTTTTCAGTGGACAGAGCTAGGAAATTAGTGGTTGTTGGTGGTGATTAAAAATACATCATAAGTTCAAACTGATACTTTCTATTCAAATGGAAAAGAACAGGGGATTTTATTTAACCTCTTCTTTTTATATTTGTGCCTCCTTTGTCTATGCTGAGAATCTTGGTTCTCAAGGATGCCAGAGGTGATGGCCTAGTACTTCACGTCATTACTCATGCACTTTCTCCTGCCTTACCACAGAGCAGCCTCAGAGCTCCAGTGCCCACACTAGCAGCAACAAGATGATTATTGCCTGGTTCTTTAACTGCTGCATAGTATTCCCTTGTATGGAAGCACCATAGTTTAGCCAACCAGTCCTCTCTTCTTGACATTTATGTTGTTTCTAATTTGAGAAAGATTGGATAGGAAATCTTAGGAAGTCAACAGGTTGTGCCTTGACAAGTTTCTGAATACACAGCCTTCATTAGTACAGTGCTCTGCCATTTTTCAGGTACTTCCACAAATAGGATACCTCATTGTTGAAGCAGAGTGGACTCTTAGAGAGGATACTCATAGCCTAAGTTCCTCATTATCTGTTAGGATTGGTCTCCTATGAATTCAAATAAAACACTCTTCCTAAACGAACTTGTTTCTTAAGTGTGTTTCCACCATGAACACACAATATGCTTCTAACTAGCAGTGTGACCTTGGGCAAGTTACTTAAATTCCCTGAGTCTTCCTTTCCTCATCCGTACAACAGAGATACAGGGGTCCCTACACATGGGGGCAGAAAGGGGACCAGGTGAAATGAAGCACATCAACAACTAAAATGGTCTGGCCCACAGTAAGATAGAATAAACACTATTTTATTTTCCTAATGTGATTAATATTTTTTATACCTTTATGTTTAACACGTTTGGTGACAAAATTCAAATAATTGCATGTAATTTTAGCATCCAGAGATAATCCCCATTTTAGTGTATTTTTCTCCTCAATTTATGTGTACAGGGTGATTATGCAAATAGTGTTGATTCTGTAGCCTGCCTTTTACACTAAACCAGGTTCAATTAAAAAAAAAAAAACTAAACTTTTTCTGTAGAGGGCCAGATGGTATAAATTTTAGGCTTTCTGGGTCATATGGTCTGTCACCACTACTCAGTTCTGTGATACAAAAACAGCTACAGTGTAACAACATTACAATGTAAACAGCATAAAGGAGTGGATATGGCTATGTTCCAAAAAATCTTTATTTATGGATACTGAAGGCTCAATTTCATATAATTTTTCATGAAATATTCTTTTTATTTTTTCCAGCCATTTAAAAATGTAAAAACCATTCTTAGCTCAGGGCCAGACGTGAGTTGGAGGCCTGTCACTTGAGACCCCTGTGCTAAACAGTTTATCATGAAAATCACTGAAACACTTCAAGAAACCCAGAAAAAGGTAGAAGATAGCAGGTTGGGAATGGTTAATCTTCCATTTCTTTGGGAGAGGAGGTCAGAGGGGCTCTGTCTTGGTGCGGTAGCATAACAAACCCCATCTGCAAATGCGTCCGAGTGGGGGTTGGATGTCACCCATCAGACTGAGGAGAAGTCAGCCAGCCCCATGATGCTCACACCTGGTCAGCACTGCTGCCTGCACCAGCTACACAGGTGTGATTTGGAAGCTTCCAGGTGAGGAAAAGAGCTTAAAATCCTTAGCAGCCCATGACTAGCCTAGACTTGCTCTCAGATCTCCTGACTTGTGGGCCAAGCATCTGCTGCTCAGATCACACTGTCCCCGGATTGTTAGTTGTTGAGGGCTCGGTTGTCAGGTTGAGAGCTGGGGAAACTCCTGTCTCTACAGAAGGGTCCAGCCGGGAAGCAGGCTCTGATACTGCTTCTGCCACCTGCTTTGTCTAGGATTGCACATTTAAGTCTTAAGCTTGCTTTCCTCATTTTGCCTATCTGCAAAGTGGGAATGAGGATACCCAAGCCCTTTGAAATCCTCCCCT